CTGAACGTAAGTTTATGATTTATTCTGTAGATCAATTTATTATTCCATGCACGGAATTTTTGAAGTTTACGAAAACTTAACTGAAGCAAACAAAATTTAATAAACGAAATTAAAGAAATATTTAATGCGTATTTGAAACACAAATGTATTTTTATAACATCTCGAGTAGATAATGGAGATATTAATGCATATTACGTGCCTTGGTTTAGTAAACAGGATGTTACGTAAAGGTAGCCTTTGATAGGTATTTTAAGATTCCTTATCAAAAATTAAAATAAAAAAGTATACATATTGAGGGTAGAAAATTAAAATTTAAGCTAGGAAAAAGCAAAAACTCAATCGTAATCTAGAAATCACAGTACAGGTTTGCGAGTGTAATAATCATCCAGTAGGCTTCATTGGAGGTTGAAACTTGTCCAAATTTTTTATAGTTGTCCTCTTTGTTTCCTAAATTACAGTTGTTGCTTAGCTAAACTCACGCATTTTCTCTCAGCAATAAGTTAAATTTCGTTTCAAAATATTACTTATTTTTCAAATTTATATTATTTAAATGATTTGCATTTAAAATATAACTATGATATAGCTCGTCTCCCAACCATGATCCAGCACCTATCTTTGAACGGTCACAGTAGGAATGCCACCTAATTTTGACCCCAGTCAGACGACGTGGACAGCGCCTGATGTGGTATCTCTCTCTCCGACGTGAGGATTTTTAGCCACAACTGATTTTACGTACATCATACTGCGTATGTTCAGGCTAGTTGTTTTTTTCAGTTTTTCGGATTCAGCTCACTACCCCCAGCTCTCTAACCAGTTGTGTGAGCAACGCCTTAACTAAAGCTCTTGCTATAACGTACCATATTTTGTGCAAAATTAAAAGATCCTTAATTATAGATTAAGAGATTTTCGGTATGTTCTATTAATATAAGTGTTTCAACAAAAAAATTTTTTCTCTTTATTATGCTTTAGTATAACAACGTACATAGATAATCTACTAAACGAATTTCTGTTACTTTGTAAATTAAGTAAACTTTGTTTCAAAGCAACTTTAACGAAAATAAAAGTAAAAATAATTTTTAAAAGGAAATAACTTTTTTTAACAATCATTCATATTTTAATAAATTAATATATTTGATTTTTATGTGTTTTGCTGATTTTTTTACACCACCCTGGTTCTGTTTTTTTTTTTTTTTTTTTTTTTTTTTTTTTTTTTCTACTTTTTGCATCAAAAACATATTTTCTAGCACCGTTTGTATTTGTCATTTGAGTATCCACCATCGAAACTCTTTTGATCTATAGTTGGTACTATACAGCTGCCTCCAGCTCTTATAATATTAAATTTAACACCCGATCTGATAAAATTTCAATGAAAGTTCAGATTTTTTTCTAAATAAAATATATAGTTTTTTTAAAAATAAAATGATAAAGGGAAAATATTATGTGCATTTTTATTAATACATGGGGATATTTTGATTTATGTATCTATTTTGACCTAACTAGTTTCGCTGTTACAATGTCTATTTGAAATAAGCCTTCTTGAAATGAACCAGTCAAAAAAACTATTTGAATTTACGAATTAGAAAGTCTATTTGAAATTAACTATTTAAAAAGTTTACTGGAAGTGAACCAGTTAGAAAGTCTTTCTGAAATTAACCAGTCGAAAAGATTATTTGAATTTAGGAATTAAAAATTATATTTGAAATTAACTAAGTCATTGACTATTTGAATTTAAGAATAAAAAAGTCTATTTGAAATTAATCAGTCAGAAAGTCTACTGGAAGTGAACCAGTTAGAAAGTCTGCTTGAAATGAGCTTGTAAGAAAGTCTACTTAAAGTGTGGAGTAAATCTACTGAAATCTTGTTTCTAATTATTCTAATTAACTAGCTTTAAAAGAACTGATGTTCTAAAAAGGAAAAAAAGGTATTTTCCTTTAATTTAAACAGAATTTTATGTTCTTTTTTTCTTAACTAACTCAGTGGCGCGACTGCCCATTAAGAGGGCCAAGGCCGACTGTGCCCATCTCAGTTTTCTTGACCTTGGTCTTTTTTTCTAAGGTAAGGTAAAAATATTGTAATTAAAAAAATCAATTTAATAAGTACACAAATATGCATGCAAGAAAATCAGCTTTATTTAAAAAAAATTACTTGTATATTAAACTTTTTATACACATATCTTTCGTTACAAATTTGTACATTTTACATAAAATCACTGAACTTAACTTATATAATTACAAAAACAAGTAAATAGATATTCTAAAAGGCAAAAAAAAACTTCTGTTGAAACAATTTCAGCTGTAGTACAATATAGTATATTTATCGAAATTAGTGAAAAATATTGTTATGGTCCTTCCATTAAAAATATAAAATATTGTTATTGATTTTAGTTTGGTTTTCACATTATTATTTATGAAAAGTTTTTATACTCATTCGTGTTTTTATTCTTAGCATTAAAATTTTGAATCTTTTATAAAAAATACAGCTAATTCAAAAAGTATATCCTTACTTTGGCATGATTATTTTTAAATGTATATATTACGATACTACGTTTAAAATAAACACTGTTAAATATTGTTAGATATTGAAGTAAAATAATAAAATTGGAAAACTTTTTTAATTGCACATAGAAATTATTTACTTTACTAGAACTAAGTTTTTTTTAGTTTTACCCATCTGGAGCAAAACTGAATCGAATTTTAAGTCTATAATTTGGCAACACTCTTCTTTTCACTAAAGTAGGAACTTAATTTGTTAAACAGGATAGAACTTAATTCGAGATACTTTTAAAACTCTACCCGAATTATAAACTCAGAATACTTCCATAAAAATATTTTATAAAAGAATAATTAGTAAAAAAATAAAATAAAATAAATTTAAAAAAATTACCAATACAATTATTTATAGCAATGATTAAATCAAAAATTTACATTTTTTGATCAATATTTAAAAACTAATAAGTTTGATAAGAACAATTTAACACTTTTTATCAAATAGTTTTTTTACTCAAAAGGATGTATTTTAAAGAAAATAAATAGTTTTATGAAAAAACATTTTTCATTAGTTAAAAAGCAAATTATCATGAAATATAAATGAGGATAGTTTGCGAAATGATATTTTTATTTTTGTTCTGTTACGTTATTTATTTTTATTTTTTAAGGAGCCTGGATAAAAAGTTTACATATAAATAAGGGTCAAACACGATATGCACGAAGAGATTATACATGAAGATGTAATTTTAAATTTTAACAGCCCCTATGTTTTAAGCATTAGTTTGATATAAATTTAAGATTTTGTACCATGTGAAAAGTGTAAATTATCATTTCAAGTATTTATTACAAGCTAAAAAAGTTTTTTTTACATTTGGTGGTATTTAATAGCTTAAGTTCTGAATTATATGAAGAAAAAATTATAATGATATTTTAAAACAATTTTTTTTATAATTGCGCAGAATTATATGAACAAAAAATTATAATGATATTTTAAAAATTTTTTTTCCGTTATAAGGCGTTTTATTAACATTTTAAGTAATACAAGATTAAATTAAAAATTTTTCAACTATTGACTTCAAAAATAAAATGTCATTATTGTTATTGACTAATTGGCGCTAAAAACTGTGAATGAAAATTTTTTTAAGATGACATCTAAAAAAGATTTCAATTTTAAAGTATTTTCCACAATTCTATTGTCTCTTAATTCTATATCTCATAAAATTTATGTTTCACAATTTTTATGACCTTCTATTAATTTGAAAAGAATTCATAACAATACGAAATATTGACGAATCACTGGAAACAGAAAAGAAAAGTGGCTAAAATATTATAATAACGAAATAAGTATGATAGATATAAATTCATGTATTAAAGAGCAGTAATGACTATAATCGATGCAAAAATAATTATCACAATTTATTATTGATTGACAAATGAAAAAAAAAATATAAATTTTGAAAATAAATAAAGAAAAAAATGTTATTGAAGACCATGGATAAAGAATACAACTATAGAATATTAAAAAATGCATAGTTCAGAAATATAATATCAAATTATAGTTCATGCTAGAATATATATACAAAAGTGTTTAAAGAATTTATTCGATACATTTATTTAAACTTTTTGTTGGAATTTCGAGAAGCACGTGAACACAATATTCCCTTGAAAGTTATAAATCATTATAATCAACTATTTTCAAAATTGGTTTGTAGAATCAACTGAAAAGCACGATACACTTTAACAAATTATGTGAACAAATTATTTCTCTGTCATTTGTATAAATGAATGAAAACTATACTTTCATGCATAAATATTTCATGCCAGCATGAAACGATTAATTTGCAATCAAGAAATAGTTAAAAAAGATATATTTTGAGCATTTCTTAAACTCTAAAACGAATATACACATTTTTTTAAATTATTAATTCTGAGACCAGCTCACAATTAATTATTTAAACCAATAGTTTAACGAATTTATCAAATACATAGTCTGAAAATTAATGTTATAATTCATTGTATGGGTATAATATGCTGAATATAAAATATTTACTGCATTGTGTTAAACTACTTTAAAGTTAAACGATTTCAAAGAAAAAAGACTATGTATAAAATAAACAAAAATAAATATGAAAAATTCCCTATCTGAATACTTTAGTTTAGTTTAGAGTGAAAATTACTCAAAACCTTTTTGATAAACTTTATAATAGTTTAATTAACTGGAGTACATAATGATTTCAGATTTTATAAAAGTACAATTGGTTGAATTATACAAATATTTAGGATGTTATGAAAATATAATTGGCTGGAGTACATAACATTTTGAAGGTTATAATAATAACAAATAGACCATTTATTTTGGACTCAGTAAAATAAGCATAATAAAAATCTCTGCAATTAATATTGAAATGTAAGTAAAATATGAAACTTTTTTAATTTATTTATTTAATATTTTGACTCATTTTTAACTCTCGATAGAAATATAATTTATATTAAATAATAATTTTTATAGTGGTTTAATTATCAGCAATCTATAACAGTTTTTTCCTTAAGCTATTTTAAATTTCCAATATTTTGCAGTTCATGAAATTTTAATCTTTATAGTGGCTTAGATTTTAATGATATGACGTAACGCAACGTAAAAAGCAGAGGAACTTTAAAGATTTATTTTAATAATAAATATTTATAATAAGAATTAGATTATAAATGTACACATCCTAAATATATCATTCGTCAAATTTTGAATATCCTTATCAAAGAGTTTAATCAATACATTCGAGTTTTATAAGTCTTTTTGAAAAGCTGCCACTGCTTTTTCAACTTTACCCCACAGGTCCATAATCGTTTGCTCCATTTCTTTAGTGACCCCCAAATCTCTCCTTTTACGACCGGACACCAATGTGGTCACTGGCACGTTGCCCACAAGAGTGGTCATTAGCATTCCCAGAATGGGCATAAAAAGGACACCCAATCCTAAAACAATCAGAAGAGGTAAGAGTAGGTGCTCGAATTCTTTGTAGTGTCCAAAACCACCTACGTGTCCAAAATGATGCGGGTAGTGATGCTCATAACCGTGGTGAGGAAATTCACTTCTGGCAGCTTTGGCGGTTACCTTGTCACTTGCTGAAGAACGCAAATTGGTAGAGTTGGCAGTGGTTGAGCGAGTATTAATAGAGGGATTATTTTGTTTAGCATCGGTCAGGACAATGACACAGATTAGTACAAGGCTAAATACAGTTGTGGAATTCATATCTGAAAAAAAAAAATTCATTCACTTAATACTTTATGAATAAGTTGTGTATGTATTGGTCAAATTTACAATGTAAGTTATAATATTAGTAATGAGCCGACCGGCCTGTGCAGGGGGCAGGGAACTGTCCTTGCATCAGAAAGGCTCTGGGTTCGAATCCCGGGCAAGACATGGATGTTTCTTTCTCTCTATCTGTGTTCTATGTCCTTTCGCCTTCGTGTGGGAACGTGACCCACCCTATAAACGGGTTGTGGTAGTGTGACGTGGGCGACGCTGCTCCACCGGCGTGGCTTCGCCACAGGTGCCCACTGGGTAACGAAAAGTGAGTTAGCAGTTCTGGCACTTTCTGTGGCCAATGGACAATAGTTCCAAGTGCCCGCCATTAAAAAAATATTAGCAATGAAATAAAGCAAATGTTGTCACAAGCATTGCAATAAAAATGATGCAATGTATTGTTTAAAGTTACCACAATGATCCTAGTTTAACTTAAAATGTTGTGATAGATTTCGGTTGATTTTTACAAGATAGAATTGAATTGAGTTGAGTTGTGTAAAATTGAAAAATAAGGCTCAGTAGATTTGAATGCAGTTGTATAGAGATAGTTTGAGTTTATACGAGTTGAATTGCGATATGTTTAATTGAGTTGAAATTGAATGGTAAGAATAAAATTCAATTTATTTAGATTGAGAACTGAACTAAATGGAGATGAATGGAATTGGATTGAATTAAATTAAACCCAATTGAATTTAGTTGACTTAAATTGAGTTTGAGTTTCATTAGTTGTATTTGTAGGAGGGTTGAGAATAAATTATTTTATAAATGGAGAGCTTGTTTAAGAACCACAATTTGAATATTGTTTATACCAATGAGTTACAACATTACACTATTGCAATTAGGAAAATTTATTCTTTATAAAACATATTATATTAATTTATTTTAATTTCAACACTTTTATTTTAAAAAATAATTTTAATGGTTTCATTAATTATCTAGTACTAGTTATTTTAGTTTAAAATTTAAAAGATTAATTATATACTCATGGAAAATCAGAGTCATTTGCATGATATTGCATTAATCCATTTAATCTATTTGGAATGTTAAAATTTTTTAACATTTTTTTTTTTTTTTTGTCTGAAAATTTGCAATTTTACGACCTCAGTAAATGCCTGTTTGATTTAGATAAAAGAACATTTTAAGAGAATTTTGTTTCTATTTAGTATTTTTCTTTTCGTGCAAATTAATTTGTTAATTTATAAATTTCAGGTTGAATGAGATCTGGAAGAAAAATTCGATTTTAAGACATTATTCTTCCATGAAGAAAAGCATTCTAGTAAAATTTTTGTACTGCAGTTTATTTCTGGTAAAAAAAAAAATTTTTTGTTAATAAAACCAAATTATAAGGTATTTAAACAACTTATATAATAATAGTTTACCAGAAATTCTGGTTTTCAAAATTATAGTTCTTATTAGCATACATTTAGAAAAATAACAAAATTTAAAAGTGAATTTATTCGAATAAACGATTTTTTTGCCATGCTCTAATGATTATGACAAAAAATCAAATTTTACTGCATTTATTAAATTTTAACACACATTAAAAAACAATATGTTATTGTTAGTTTTGCTGAAATCATTAGCAAAGCACTTCGGTAAATATTGCCATGTTTTTTGGTTTCCCATAGAGCGAGAAACAATGTAGATTTTATCATATTCTAAAAGTTTTGACCACACTTTTTTCTCAATGTACTTTAAAATTCATTTTACAAGTTTTCAACAATAAAAAGAATTACAATATAAAACAACATTGCGATGCTTTATTAAAAAAAATAGGTAACATTGTTTTAAATTGTCAAATGAAATATAAAAACTCACTGATATATTGTAATTAAATGTTAATGGCAACAATATTCTTCACAAGGGGACTAATATGCAATGAACTAAACATCATTGATAATATTTTTCTTTTATAAAAACCATTATAAATTATACTTAATCCACTCAACCAATTCGATCAATTTATTCATTATTAATTCTTATTAAAGTGAGTCAGGTAAAATACATTTGTACTTTGTACATTATACAATATATTCCACTTTAATCTTAAGTATTTTATTACATTATTATATTAACTTGTACTATATTCTTTTATTATATTTTATTATATTCTGTTGTTATATTTTATTTACTTTACGTCGTTATTTTAAATTTATAAACTGCGATTGTTGAAGGTAATTTCACATATTTATATTTAACTTCTCAAAATAGTAGTTATTTTAAAAAGCACAAAAATATGTGCTAAAAATATGCGAATATGTATTATCAACCAAATGCTCATTTTATAGCGCAAAAATAGTTAGTTAATTTTATCCTTAGAGAATGGTGTTACTGATAAACTCAAAAAATGTGCATTTGTTAAAAAAAATATGCTGGGCAATAAATGTGCGTTAACAATTTAAAAGCAGTTAAATAATTACTTTTCAGTTTTGCTAACAATCACATAGAATTAGGTAATAAATTTCAAACCAATTTGCATTGATAGTATTAGAGCAGTGAAATAATTTTTTTCTTCCTCAGACACAATAGTTATGCTAAGAATTATCAAAAAATGTGCATTAGATAACAAATAAATGTGCATGAATGTGCATGAGCATTAAAACAGGGAAATAATTTCTTCCTCATACAATATTTTTACTAAAATTCAAGATAAATTGTTAGTTAGCCGATAAATGTGCAGACAAATGTGCGTTATTATTAAAACAGTTAAATAATATTTAGAAGAATTTAAGTATTCATCATATTGATCGAGAGCATTAAACTATTGATAATAGTAAACAAAAAATGAATAAATATTAATATTAAAATAAAATATTTTTCACCATACCTATTTATCTATTAGTTGTATCCAAATTTATAAGATTAATTCGAACACCTTTCTGAAGCACTTTCAAGCTAGACAGTGGTGTCGAAATATTTTGTCCACCCTTATATACAAGTTGACCAACGAAGGTGCTTTATCTTGTCCCGAATTTTGTCCTTTTCATTTCAGTTCAAGACCCTCACGAAACTAACGAAAGCGTGAATTATCAAAATGATAAAAGAATCACTTCTTCTGCGACTAAACGATCTAATTACTTCATATTTACGAACAAAAGCTAACACATCCTTGTATAAGAATCAACAAAAGATCTGATACAAAACGTTCCCCTTCTTTATCGTGTGAGCATCCCTTACTGACCCAAATGACCAACAAGTATATTAGAAAGCGATCGAAATTACATTGAAAAAAGTCAGTTTTCGTTTTTAAATTCATATGAAAAGTTCTTTAAGAGTAGTTAAGTCAGATCATAATCAAAAGTGAAGTGAAGTCATCTGCATGAAGAACGGAGCAGCGCTTTTGTTCTGAAGGTGGTTGTCTTTGTTCCGCGATAACTCGAGCAAGGAATTTATATTCTTTGTGACAAGTTTCTTGGAGCGGTCTTTTGTGGCAAATGAAAGAAAAATTAACAATGTTCCAGGCGAAAACGACGACTCACTTTTGCGCAGATGGCGGTTTGTCCATGCCCTATTTCATTTTGTCACTTTGTGAAGTATATATCTGAGAAAGTAAGTTCAAGAAGTGCTATTAGAAATTACTTATCTGATTTTTTCAAACAATATAAAAATACACTACTGGTCATTAAAGTTGTTGTACTAGAAAGGTGGCAGATCACACACTTGATATGGACAAAACACGATGCGATCGAAAAACGATTAGATTTTTATCACATTTAAGCTAAGCAGATGGCGTCACAGAGATTTGACAACAATTTTGCCGCCATTAATAAGCATTTGAGCGTTGCTTTTGATAGTTACCAAGCGACTGGTACGCCACTATTAACATTATTTTGATGCACAATCAAACAACTGTTTCATAACTTTGAAAATGACGTTGACGCTGATCCGCATATACTTTGCAATATTTGTTTGACTCGATGCCCATACCGATTATTTATGTTATTTTTGATGTCTGGAGCTACTGCTGTGGCTTCTTTCTTTCTTTTTCTTACAAGATCTATACTTCCGTAAATTAAATCACTTGTTCTTTCCACTATAACGTACGTATATAATAAATAACATTTTGTTATTTATATCATACAGCTAGTCTGATGCCGAACCGATAGCGGCTAGTAATGTAGGTTTCATTTTATGTGTGAAAGTACATTGACTTCAATGCCTTAATAAAAGTTCAATATTTAATTATCGAATTTTATAATTGCCTGTAAATTTTTTTCAATTCACTTAAAAAGTTCTCGAGATATAAAGAAATACGCAAAAAATAAAATTAACATTAGGGAGTCCAAACTTTGGAGAACGCTCCTGATCAAACTATTGGAACCATATTTCCCAGATTGCGGCTATTCCATATGATTTAGGGATCAGAAACCCGAATCCATCGAACAAAAAGGTATGTTTGCTCATAGAAAGTAGGTTTTTATGTCTGATTTCGTAACTTAAAAAAACATGGTCTGCACTTATAGTCTCATTAATTAGCATATTTGAGATCACTTCCTCGAAGCATTAAGATTAAGTCCTAAATGTGAAAATCCAATCATTAGATCAAAAGTTATTCAGGGTCAGCCTTTTTTTTCTTCTTTTTTGCGCATTGTACAATGAATGGGACAGTGGTGAACTGCGCTCAGTAATAGATTCAATTATAACCCCCATTCCTAACAGTGTGCGAAATACACTTCTAGTAGGTTCAATATACACTGGATAGATCTACTTTTTCATGACATGTGAGGGGGCAATTTATAATTATCAAGCACTGTCTTGGCGATAAACTTCCACCTGGCTGAGTACAATCTATCAAAACATATTATGCCAATATATGTCAGGATTAAATTTGAGATATTGGAGTGAGGATCAGATTTGTAACTAGAATATAATATATTTACTGGTAGCATTGTATTTATATAATATGCACTTTACCTTTAAAAAAAAAATCATCGTTGGTAACAATACAGAAATGTAAGCAAAGCGGTGGCCCTTAATCTTAAAAAATCATCAGCATGTGGTACCCTAAGCATGTGACTACAAACTGTATACTTTAAACGTATTTGGCGACTTTATGGAGCGAATTTTGGCCGCAGATTATTTGGCGAGGATATTTGTTTTATACAAGTGCAATAGCTATCGAAACAAAGATATTGTTGGGCTAAAAGCGATTTACTGGTATGAAAATAAACAATTCGTTAGCAAAATGGATAAACAATTCATTTTATTTAGCTTTATCACATACTATTTTTTTAGTAATCGATTCCTATTTAAGAGACCATAGTGAAAGAAATATCTAACATGTGAGATAAGCAACAATATTGGAATATGTATGTTAACAAGTGTCTGAAACTAATGCACTAGATTACACAGATTAAGTAGCGTCACTCTTTCCCTTGAGACCTTTGTGTCACTTTCGATTTTGATTGGCTGTCTCCGATCACATGGGCAAACTGTCGCCATTTTGTTGATTAGTTTGAACGGCGAATTATCATTGCGCCCGATATGTTATTTTCACTTTCGTCTTTTCTTTTGCTTTTTTTATTTCATACTTTTACATTTATAGTAACTGGCCGTTGCGCTTTTGGGTGTTCAAATAAGTCAAATTTAGGCTTTAAATTATATCATTTACTTCTTGGAGATCACAATAAAAAACGACGGAAAATATGGCTGCATAGAATTGGCAGAGATAAAAGGAATCCAAATGAAAACAACTGATTGTGTGAGGTAAGTTTGAAATTAATTATTTTTTTATTTCTTACAAATTTTACAAGATATTATTTATTAATTATATAGAGCAAATATGTTTCATTTTTTTTTTCAATTAGACGCTTAACAAATTCAATTGCATTAAATATGTTCACCCAAAAGAAATTAATATTGATTACAAATATTGTTTTTTTGATTTAAATAATATTTTCGTTAGAAAGCTTTAAAAATAGATTTTAATAGCATTTAAATATTTTACCAGAATTAAAAATAAACAAAGGTAACATATTAAATATTTTTCAAATGAATAAATTTAAATTTCTACGTTTTAATAAGATGATCCAATTCCTATTTGAAATCTTAGTTTCTTTAATTTTTATTATTTTAAATTTCTCATACATTATAGTAAAAGTTTGTGACAGTGCGAAATAAATTTTTGCATTTAATATTCAAAATTAGAACAAGAATTTTCAAAATTAGAATAAGAAATATTTATTAATTTTTTAACAAACCAGAACTCATCTAAATTGTTATTCAAGGTGACAAGCCTGCCATTTACTAATTATTGACTGTTTCATTACATGACTTAATTTTAAAGTATCGAAACATTTGAACCTCATGAAAAAACTGACTGCAAAAAATTGCAAAAATTTCAGAAAAAAAAGTTATAGCATGTTATAAATAAAGAAATGGGGAAGTTTTAACTTATATATAAGGTATCATTTTCTCTGAGTAGAATAAAAAAATGTATAATTTCAGAACGAAAAAAAAAGAAGGAATTAAAGGAAAAATAGTAAATATTTATGTTATCTTTAAGAATATGAAAATATTAATAAAAAAAAAAAGTTCCGTTTAAGAATAGAAACTCAGTAGTTCGACATTGAAAGCTGCGGTTACAGGAGAATTGCAGTCACTAAGATGGCGGCATGTCGCTACTTTATCTAAGTATCCAGGAATATAACTGAAACAAGTGAGTTTAGTCATATTTACTTTTTATATTAATTGAACGCTAAATTTAAAGAGTTCATTTTAGCTAAGTTTTTTTTTTGTTATTATTATTAGACACTATTATTACTATTATTACTATTATTATTGTTATTATTATTACTTTCAATAAAATGCAAGAAAAATTTGAAATTACAGACTATTTAGGATGTTTTGCTCATAAATTAATAGTTTGAGAGTTTAAAATTATATA